CTGGAGTTCACACAAAAACAATAAGTATGAAAACAAACCATTTAAAATCACACAGTGTCAATTAAACAAGAAAACTATAAAGATCAGAAGATAAATCTACACTATAGCAGTCAGGAGGGACTTTCAGTATTAGTGTCTTTATTCATTGTTGAACGATAAACAAGCCTCCAGTCACTAGGTGGCAGCAGTGCTCAAACTAATCAACAGGCTGCCTGCTCAACCCAGTAGAAGATGGAGGAGAGATGGAGAAGTTTCTGACAGGAGTGAAAAGAAAAACGGAGCAGGCGTCAGTGGCAAGAAATGCAAGTGACGGTAACCGGCATAAACCTAATAAGAGCAGGAAATACGACGACACCTACATAGCCCTTGGGTTTACCGTGAATACGGTCGGAAATGAGGAAAGACCTGTGTGTGTGTTTTATGCCCCAAAACTCTGGCAGCGGACAGCATGAAACGGAAAAAAGAATCACACAGACTGAGCAGTCTTGTTTAAATGTTACAAAGTGAGTTAATAAACTGAACTTGGAAAGTGTTTGAAGTTGTTGCAGATGTTATCTCAGCTCATTTTATTCATCTATTTTGATAATCAGGTGATTTTATGCAGAATGCTGGTGCCAGCAACTCATACAGTGGTTTGTACAGATCAATAAATAAATCTGATCAGGTTCTCAATAGTAGTTCAATTCAGGGGGGGCGTGAAAACATTTCTGACAGAAAAGAATTGAAAACCACTGCACTATAGTAACCTACAATGGAAACAAAAACAAAATTGACATAAATACACTGTATACAAGCTCTTATTATATTTATATTTACATTTTTATATTTATTTTTTAGTTATATGTATATACCTATACATACATTTCTATTCTATGTACAGTGTTTGATATTGTAATATAAGTATTATTTCTATTCTTTGACATTTGTGAGTAGAACAACTGTAACAAACAAATTTACCCCCGGTGATCAATAAAGTATTTCTGATTCTGATTCTGATTCTTCCATCTACTAAACCAAACAGTTTCTATTGTATTTACTAATCATTGATGTTGGATTGGTAATAAACCTTTTTAAATAACTACTTTAAAGCTTTAATTACTAGTTACTTTACAATAGGAACATTTTTCATACAAAGATACAGAGACTTATGTTTTATTATAAATGTAACTACCCAACAGTAAACAAGTACAGCAGAAATGATCAGTTAATAAACAGAAAATAAACTGGTGATAATGGTTTGAGTCATTCTTCATGTGAAAACATTGAATTGTGAAAATAATCATATGTATGGACAGCAATTAATATAATAATATGATATATGACATTTAGAAATAAGCTCCACCTCAACAAACTATGACAGTAAAAAGCTGCTTTTCCATTAATACATGAGTAACTATAGTCTGATGATATAATATATAATAGTATTGTTGGGCACATTAAACAAACTGCATTTTAATTTTTTCATTCTTTATTCATTTATTTTAACATTACATATATAAAAATAAAACTGCTCCAAATTCTGTATCCTGTATTGAGATTGTTTAACAGGCTGAGACTTTATTTAAACTACAGTTCAGACACACTGAAGAGTAAAATGTCCAGTTTCTGCTGGTTTCTCACAAATCCTTCTCTGAGTATATTTGCAGGACAGATCAAACCAACATTTCAGATCAGGAGCTCCTGCTTTCTCTCCCATCCTCACACAGTCCTCTCCATCAGGGTTGTACCATGTCCAGTTATCTGGCTCACCGTGGATCCAAAATGTCAAACTAAGAGTTAGAGAACAGGAAGAAAATGGTTCAATAAAACCGATAACTTCGATTTTCGAAACTGACAAACAATATATTTAAACCAGTCAAACCTCTCGTTCAGTGGTGAGCCGTCTACCCACAACCATGTGCCCTCTTTCTCTGAGTCTGTCAGTCCGATCCAGAACTTGTCCCATTCAAAGTTCATTTTTTCTCTCACTTTCAGCTCCAGGAATGTCTGGACAGGAAATGTTGATGAAGAACACAATATGTAACATGACTTTTCTGTGCTGAGAGACCATGTTAACTAATGTGGAAACACAAGGATGTGATAAAACAAATGAGAATAAAGCCAGTGAGCTACATGAACCTGCAGCAGTGTGTTTTACCTGCTCCTCTCTGCTGTCTATCTGAACCAGATCTCCTCCTTTCTGTCGGCATTCATCTCTGCTCTCACTCCAGGTTGAACTACTAATGGAGAAATAATAACACTGTCTTCCATGCTGCTCCCAGCCATATTCACATTTTGGACATGAGTCATCTTTGAAGAGATCACAGTAAAGACTTGAGTCAGGTGAAACAGATCACTGTTTATATTTGTGTGATTTGGAAGCAGCAGGAACTTTGAGATGAACGAGTTTGAATCTGAGAGCAGCTGAGACAATCAGACAGAGGCAACAGTTTTCTACTTCACAGGTATATATACTGCCAATCTGACTTCTTGTATCTGTCAATACATCACTGGTTCTTTAATCATCATCAGAGGATGCAAACATGGAAGAAAGGCAAAATCCATCACTTACTTTCTTTTACTACAGGAGGTTGTGGGCTGGTTTGCTGCACCGTGTTGTATGATTTTACTTCACAGCGTCTCTCTGTTATAAAAACAATTTCACTTTCATCAGGATCGTCTCTTATTTATGAACCTGAACCTGAAACTCTTTCACAGTACAGTCAGTTGATAATTAACAGATCAATATCAGGGGCCACCTGTCAGAACTGAAAACAATCCAGTTTAACACAAAATGAGACTTGCAGAGACTTCCGGACTAAATCTTTTAGACAGTTTCAAACACAATCTGAGATGTGAGATGTCACATTTTAAAAGTATCCTGCAGTGTTGCAAAATGTAGGTTAAAGTAGACTTTTAACTTGTAAACTGAACCTTTTTAGACAGTTTCCAGACCTGACTGGATTACCTGTGAGATTTCTTTTCACAGCTTCAAGTTCGTCTCTCAGAGTCTGGAAACTTTGCTTGGTGTGCATGTTATCAAGAGCTGATTAAAAAAAGAAAGCAGAGGTCAAACACTGCATTAGTAAATCATCAGTGTTTGATAATAAATGTGTTTATTACAGAAACATGAACTAATTAAAATAAAGTTTGCGTTCCAAAAATGAAAGTGATTTTTCATTTTAACTTTTTCAAATGTAAAATCTCTCTGCAATGTAAAAACTTCAATTTATATTATTTTGCCTAAACTATCAGCATTCAAAGTAAAAGAAGAAGATGTGTTGTGAAGAAGTTGCGATTTATTAAAAAATTAAGCGACAAAGTTCTGTTAACTTGTGTTCTTTAGTCGATGAATCAAGAAAAACTAAATCTCACTACATGTTTACTTTATCATTTGCACTTTAAAATCTCAATAATTATATGAAATAAACATTTTCTGTTATCAATAACTGTAATTAAAAGTGTGTCAATGTCAGGTTTTAAGTGTTAACTTACAATCATGAGTTCAGTTCAATAAATGTCCAATCAATTGATTACTTAACTCATCATATTAAATAGTTTGAAACATTTTCTGCACACGCTTCCCAGCATGCATTGCTTTAAGGCTAAAATTAACCAGAAATCCTTTTTTATGTGAAAACACACATGATGGAGGCTTTTATGTCTTTTTATACATTTGTCTCAGAGGAGTCTAAAATGAAAACATTGCCAGCCATGATGGACACTTCCTGCACCCTTTCAGTATAAGATCCATTAATTTATGTGGTTAAACATAAACTCAGTATTTACTGTAACTGTCAGTAACACAGGAGGAGTTGTTACTGGGGATAAAACTAAAGTAAAGTCAATATACATCAATCTACATGACAAACTTACAGAGACGGCAAATAACAATGACAGCAGCTGCCAGGAGAGCGCTGACAACCAGCAGGGCCACTCTCTCTGATCTGACCTTTGACCCTCCATTTGACCCTGAGCGATGTTGGGAGGCTGGAGCTTCACCTGTTCAACAGGTAGAAGAGACACAGATGGAAAACAGATGTGTGCAGAGGGTGGACACAATAACATGAACACCCATACAGCTGTTCCAAAAGCCGAGAAATTAGTCAAATAAAATACTGCCCTATTAGTTTCTAAAACTTAAAATTAAAGTTTGTCAACTGCTTAAAGACATTTTCTGTATCACTGTTGCAGTTCTCAGAGCAGCAAGTATCACACCATTTTATTAAGTGCAGCACAACACATCACTCAAAACATGACACGTGTGTCAGCAGACTGTTAGTTTAGCTTAGCATAAAGACTGGAAACAGGGGGAAACTACTAGCCTGGCTCTGTTTGAGTGTATTAGCACATTTAAAACTCTCTAATTATCACTGTAACTACCTGGAGTCTCCACTGGTTGCCTGGCAACCTCATCCTGACAACAAGACTCCAGGAAGTTACTCCTCCGCCAAAGAAATAGTCTGGAACATAACGCCCTGTAAAACCACAGCGTTTCATTTTTACACTAAATAAGATATAATGTGTTAATTATTGAGCTTTAATTAATTAATGTGTTGTTAAACAGTGACAAATGATGTAGCATACTGTACTTCTACAAGTTATAGTGGTTATTATTCATTATTTTAAAGAAATGTTGAAATGTTGAGATTTTAAATAGAAAAAAAATAATAAGATGAACATGAACTTGTGTTACTTTTTGTACATTTCATGGCCGCCTGCTTCTCTTGCTGCTCTGATTACTTTCCCACACTGTTGTTGGTCTCTGACAGTGCAGAGGGCTGCTGCTGCATTAGACCAACAGGAAACCAACATTGTTAAATATAAATACACATGTGTGTATTTATAATTCTACTTCATGATCAGTTCCTCTTTTGTTTTCTGGACTTTCTTCTCTTCTGAGTAAACCTCAGAATATTCTTGAACTGGTCGTTATTACAAGATAAAGTAAAGTGCCATAAAAACTGTTCGTAAGTACAGTACTTGAGTAAATGTACTTAGTTACATTCACTGGTTATTACCTTCTATGTAGCCCTGTGGACGGCTCATTGTGTCAGATTTCCAGATGCTGACTTCAGATTAAGTGCTGTCAGTCGATGAGGAAACTTTCTCTGTGACAAAAAGCACAAAAACCAAAATGCAGAAATAATTTGTGTCACTGTGGACATCAAGTTTCCCAGTTAGAACAAATAAAAACTGCTTTAGGAAGTATTTGGTATGTTTTAGAAAGGTTTCACACCCTTAGATAGATAGATAGATAGATAGATAGATAGATAGATAGATAGATAGATAGATAGATAGATAGATAGATAGATAGAACATATTTATCAAAAATTCACCAATTACTTTTCTTCCTGCTCTTTTCAGCCGTTTTATCTGAACATCAATGTACACCATCAACTTCTTCTGTTAGAAAGAACAACTTCCTTTTAGTCTCAAAGATGGGGAGGAGCCTTTATCTTGTGACGGCCCCTGTCCAACCTGCTACAATGCAGATGTGGAGGACAAGTTTCTGTTCTTCTTATCCATCCATTGTGTCTATTTGTGAATGAAGTATTTGGTACCTAAATGACCAACATGCTGATTATTTGTAGCCGAGGTTTTGTGTAGTTTTCACTGGAGTATCTGATGAGCGTATGCGTAAAGTTTCTTGTTGGTCTAATGCAGCAGCACTCTGCACTGTCAGAGACCAACAACAGTGTGGAGAAGTAATCAGAGCAGAAAGTGAATGAAATGAAATGTTTCAAAAATAACACCAACACATAGTTGATTAATTAAAGCTCAATAATTAACACATTATATCTTGTTTAGTGTAAAAATGAAACACTGTGGTTTTACAGGGCGTTATGTCCCAGACTATTTCTTGGGCCGGAGGAGTAACTTCCTGGAGTCTTGTTGTCAGGATGAGGTTGCCAGGCAACCAGTGGAGACTCCAGGTAGTTACAGTGATAATGAGTGACCATTAAAGGTGCTGATATGTGAATTATGTTACAGTTGAACAGAGCTAGGCTAGCTGTTCCCCCTGTTATTAGTCTTTATGCTAAGCTAAGCTAAAAGGCTGCTGGCTGTACCTTACAGATATTAGGTGATGTCAATCTTCTAATCTCACTCTCTGAAATAACTTAGATGTAGCCGAGAAACAACAGACATTTTTTACAAGTACAATGTCATTTCTAAAACAAATCTTTCAGTTACAGATCTTACAAACTTTAAATAGTTATTATCATCCCTTCCACCCATCTGTGACTTCATTGTACAAAAAGGGAAGTGACACATTCATTTAAACCCTATGAATAATAAAGTTTGACTGTGGGCAAGAGAAGGTGTTTCATAAAGCCCTCCCCATGCTTCATTTTGCAGGAAGGTTTTTTTAACAGTTAGCTGTGAACTAGAATTTAGTTTTCTTTCAGACTCACTGAGGGTCACAACAGTAAAATGTCTGAGGCTGATGGAATAGTGTACTCTGATGTTAAGTTCACAAGAGCGAAGAGAAACACCCGTGGTGAGTCTTAAATCTATGATTGTTGGTTCTTTTGTTTGACAGAGTTTTTGACAGAGACAGACTTTCTGTTTAAAGCTGCAGATGTTGACTCCCGTTAGCGGTGCACTGGACAGGGATCGCAGGAAAAAGCTCTTATACCGATTGTTGTTTGTTTTGTTTGACAGAGTTTAAAAGATGAACGTTTAATGTCACACTTTATCAGTTATCTGCAGATATTTGCAGTTCTTTCATCAGCAGTTTGGTTTTGTGGTTTTTGTTGCAGGGACCGCTTCCTCAGAGGCTGAACCCACATACTCTGAAGTCAGGATCTTGAAGACTCATCCATCCACAGAGCTCCCTGGTGGGTAAAACACTGTTCAATAAACGAGAAGGTGAACTGTGACCTCCAGTCAGTGGTCATCATGAAACAAACCTGTCTCAGCATTTTTAACTTTTTCCAGAATAAAAACGTTTATTCTTCAATGAGCTTTCTTCATCAGACTGCTGAGGGAGTGTTCTCTAGAAACATAAGACTATTAAAACACAGAAAGTTCAGAACAGCAAGATTTTATTGACACAATTTACTTAATAAAATATTTGTTGTGTACAACAAAATATATTACAGTAAAGTATCATGGTTGACACACACACACACACACACACACACACACACAAACAAACATATATATATACAGACAACACAGAAACCAACAAAACTACCACAACACAAAATAAATATAGAGATTATTACTGTTATGTTGTTTGTGGTCGTCTGTTATTTTAATATGTCACATATTCTACCTCCAGAACATATTAAATATAGATTTTACATGATGGAAAACGTGCATTCAAAAATACATCCACTATTACGAAAGGAATATTACTTTATTTAAGTTACATTTATAGCTCTCATCTAAAATAAGGTACAGAAACGGTCATTGCCTGCAAATTACAAGTAAGATAAAGGGAACTATAATCTAAGTTATACAACCCTGTGTTGTAAATAACAACAAAATAACTTTGAATTGTTCGTAATAACTTTGACCTCAAATTAATAATATTCAAGATCAGTGCAGATGATGACCTTTATGTCCCTATACTGAAAAGATAGAGTGGAGAGACAGAAAGAGAAAGACCAAGAAAGAAAGAGAGAAAGAAAAAGGGTGGTGGATGCCTCGACTTATCTTCAATGTATGACTTTAACTTGCAGTATTTTTACAGTGTAGTATTATATTTGTACTCTAGTGAAGGAGCTGAATATTTCCTCCACTACTACATCTGGTTTGTCTGTATCTTCTGCTGGTCAACAGGTTCCCAACAACACCCAGTGTCAAATGGAGGGTCAAAGGTCACACCAGAGAGAGTGGTCATAGTAGTTCTCAGTGCTCTCCTGGCAGCTGCTGTCATCGCTCTCGGCTTTACCTGTGAGTTTGTTCTTTTTAAAGTGAATTCATCTGGATTGAAATTGACAAACGTATCTAATTACAGTTATTGATAACAGAAAATGTTTATTTCATATAATTATTGAGATTTTAAAGTGCAAATAATAAAGTATGTAGTGAGATCTAGTTTTTCTTAATTCATCGACTAAAAAAACACAAGTTAACAGAACTTTGTCATTTAATTTTTTAATAAATCACAACTTCTTCACAACACATCTTCAACTTTTACTTTAAATGCTGATAATTTAGGCCAAATAATATAAACTGGAGTTTTTACAGTGCAGAGAGATTTTACATTGGAACAAGTTAAAATGATGACTTTCATTTTTGGAACCCAAACTTTATCTTAATTAGTTCATATTTCTGCAATAAACACATTTATTATCAAACACTGATGATTTACTAATGCAGTGTTTGACCTCTGCTTTCTTTTTTTAATCAGCTCTTGATAACATGCACACCAAGCAAAGTTTCCAGACTCTGAGAGACGAACTTGAAGCTGTGAAAAGAAATCTCACAGGTAATCCAGTCAGGTTTAGAAACTGTCTAAAAAGGTTCAGTCTACAAGTTAAAAGTCTACTCTAACCTACATTTTGCAACACTGCAAGATCCTTTTAAAATGTGACATCTCACATCTCAGATTGTGTTTGAAACTATCTTAAAGATTTAGTCCACAAGTCTCTGAAAGTCACATTTTGTATTAAACTGGATTGTTTTCAGTTGTGACAGGTGGCCCCTGATATTGATCTGTTAATTATCAACTGACTGTACTGTGAAAGAGTTTCAGGTTCAGGTTCATAAATAAGAGACGATCCTGATGAAAGTGAAATTGTTTTTATAACAGAGAGACGCTGTGAAGTAAAATCATACAACACGGTGCAGCAAACCAGCCCACAACCTCCTGTAGTAAAAGAAAGTAAGTGATGGATTTTGCCTTTCTTCCATGTTTGCATCCTCTGATGATGATTAAAGAACCAGTGATGTATTGACAGATACAAGAAGTCAGATTGGCAGTATATATACCTGTGAAGTAGAAAACTGTTGCCTCTGTCTGATTGTCTCAGCTGCTCTCAGATTCAAACTCGTTCATCTCAAAGTTCCTGCTGCTTCCAAATCACGCAAATATAAACAGTGATCTGTTTCACCTGACTCAAGTCTTTACTGTGATCTCTTCAAAGATGACTCATGTCCAAAATGTGAACATGGCTGGGAGCAGCATGGAAGACAGTGTTATTATTTCTCCACCGATCTTTTAACCTGGAGTAAGAGCAGAGCTGAATGCGGACAGAAAGGAGGAGATCTGGTTCAGATAGACAGCAGAGAGGAGCAGGTAAAACATACTGCTGCAGGTTCATGTAGCTCACTGGCTTTATTCTCATTTATTTTATTTTTTTATTTCTTTATTTTTCATTTTTTAACCTTTATTTAACAAGGAAAAGTCTCATTGAGATTAAAAATCTCTTTTACAAGAGAGTCCTGGCCAAGACAGGCAGCAGCACAGTTCCACAGTTACAGACAATCATTTAAAAACAACAGAGAACATATAAATAGAGTCACAGTCAGAACATCATCAAACAATGCATGTACAGACAGAAGAGCCAGCTTCAACATCATTAAGAAAGGATTTAAACCTGTTTAATCACATCCTTGTGTTTCCACATTAGTTAACATGGTCTCTCAGCACAGAAAAGTCATGTTACATATTGTGTTTTTCATCAATGTTTCCTTTCCAGACATTCTTGGAGCTGAAAGTGAGAGAAAAAATGATTCATAATGAGGACAACTTCTGGATCGGACTGACAGACTCAGAGAAAGAGGGCACATGGTTGTGGGTAGACGGCTCATCACTGAACGAGAGGTTTGACTGTTATAAATATATTTTTTGTCAGTTTCGAAAATCAAAGTTATCAGTTTTATTGAACCATTTTCTTTCTGTTCTCTAACTCTTAGATTGACATTTTGGAGCGCCAGTGCGCCAGATAACTGGACAGGGTACAATCCTGATGGAGCGGACTGTGTGATGATGGGAGATAGAACAGGAGCTCCTGATCTGAAATGTTGGTTTGATGAATTCTGCAAATATACTTACAGAAGTATTTGTGAGAAACCAGCAGAAACTGGACATTTTACTCTTCAGTGTGTCTGAAATGTAGTTTAAATGAAGTCTCAGCCTGTTAAACAATCTCAGT